TGTTAATTGGGGCTGGCGCAGCCGCGGGACAATACCAGGCGGCTGGAGGAGGAAACGTACTTGTTACAGACGTATCCCTTGGGGGTGGGCACTCCACAGTCCATTCTACATTTTGTGGTTTTCTGTAATGGTCTTAGAATGTTGCAAAGAGAAGTTTCTTTGAGGGATGAGATTACCTGTGGGCACAAAGATAAATATTTTTAATTGATGTTACTAATTATGCTAATTGAGTAAAGTGGTAGTAATAGGTTCTCCTATAAGATCTTGGTAGCCCCAAGTAATTGGATAGGTCTTCAGTACTTCTTGTTGAGTGGTTCTTCAGTACAGTTAGCTTTTGGTAATTTCCAAGGTATGTGTGCCACTACCTCCCCCTGAGGGATATCTTACCAATGGTCATTGTGGTTCATAGCATCATAGTTGAGAAGGAATATTATATGCTTCCCTCCCTTGGAGACTTGCATAGCACCTTCCTATACTATGTCAGTTAGTCCTCTGGGAGGCAACCAAGGATAACAAAAATAGTTGATGTTGTTTTAGAAGTCTCTTGGACTCCTCTGACCTGCCACTCAGAAGAGGTTTCTCATGGCTGGTACTGGGCCATTTGTTAGGTAGTCTGTGGCTCTTGGGGTAGCACTGTCAACTCAAGTAGCATAATTTTATGTGTATATATGTATACTTTATGGATTTTATGTACATAAGAACTATAATTCTTTATGGCTTTTCTCTTCTCCTTCTGATATATACATATATATATATACATATATATGTATATATATATAGAGAGAGAGAGTGAGGTAACCCAAAACTAAGAAATAAAAATGCCACATGTTCTCTCTCTTCAGAGGCTAGCACCAAATCTTGAGATATGAGTAACATAGCCTGTAGTCACTACAGAAACCAAGAACGTAAAACAGGACCATTGCTGCAATAGGGAGGAGAATATCAGGGTACAAGTATTCTGATCATGGAAATGGGAAAAGGGGGATTCTCTGGGAAGGGGGTAAATACAGAAAATGGTGGGAAGAGGGTAAAATAACAATAAGAATGTCTGATAAAGCCATAAGCATTACAAGTCATCTGATAGGGGATTTGGGAAGGAGAGGTAAGTAAATGTAGAAGAAAGTAGGAGGATAGTAATACAAGTGATCTGATAGTGAAGATGGGAAAATAGGGGTGCCTTAGAGAATAGAAGGGAGGAAGGAGGTAAAACAATAATGTGGATGTCTGAAAAAGCCACAAGGAACCATGCTATTCACTATTTATCTATTTATCTAAGAATAAACAATTTTAAAACCCATAACAAGTCAGTGTATAACTATACATATATATTTTTAATGAACTTATTTGTGCTGATGGCACAGAGACTACCACCTAACAACCCTCCCATGCACACCTAATAACTCTAATACCAGATATAAGAAGTCCTCTTTTCAATTGTTGGCTAAGGCTTTCTGAGACTCTAAAAACATACAGGTATTGCTGTTGCCTTCAGTTACCCACCCCACCCCCAGAGCTGGAAGGTAAGTCCCTGTTGCTGAAGATACCCTGCACCTCAGTAGTAGGGCCCAAAACACCTGACCTGAAACTGACTTGAATATTCTCTCCTAGGGCATAGTTTTCATGGTACTAGAAGGCTCCAATGCAGTTTTTCAGAGGAGAGGAGCAACTAACAGTTCCACCCAGTTTTGATACCTATGAACCATATCAATGACCAGCATAACAAGATAACTTTGTAGTTTCAGTAGTGGCACATATGTCTTAGTGGTAACCAGTGATTCTGTAATTGAACTTAAGATCTACTCAACAAGTGGGATACCAGGCCTAGTACTGGGAACATATCAACCTAATCAGTGCTAGTTAAATAAAAGAGAATCTACAACCACTGATTCGCTAATCCAGCATAATCCCCAGCATCAACCAATAAACATTTGTTCTTATACCTATAGATAAGTGTAGTTTTCACCCATCAAGGAAAGTTGTTTTTGCAACAAATGGACACCTCTACAGAAAACCACAACCAACTACAGAGTTATGTAGCCCATTCCCAAAGAATACATGTACAAAACACTCCCATACTTAAGGCTCAGGGAATTAGATCGTTAAGAATTAGGATCTGGAACTTCTGTGAGAGTGTGTCTCTCAGTAACATCAGCAGCTATATCCATAAACTCTCACCAACATAACCACCCAAACATGAGAGTTGAACAAGGAAAGCATCAGTGAACATACTAAATTGGATAGGAAAACATCTCAACCCTACACAAAGAACTACAGGCTGGTTATTGAGTAAATCTGAAAGTGGAAATGGAAGCAGTGACCCTCCGCAGGGGAAAAACAGAACAGCCTTGAAAACAAACATATAAATAACATGAATTCAACTGGTTTTATTTATGTGTGTGTGTGTCTGTGTCTGTGTCTGTGTGTGTTGCAATGTATGTATATACATGAAATATATGTATGTATACACATAATATACATATATATGCATGCATGCAATAACAGTTGATAAAAGGAGAGTATATGGAAGGGTTTGGAGGGAGGAAAGGGAAGGCAGAAATGTGATTAAAATACATCTTAAACAACACAACTTCCTTCCTAAGTTGCTTTTGGTCATAGTGCTATTTGGTTTTTTGTTTGTTTGTTTGATTTGTTTTGTTTTGTTTTTCGAGACAGGGTTTCTCTGTGTAGCTCTGTAGACCAGGCTGTCCTGGAACTCATAGAGATGCCTCTGCCTCTCTGCCTCTGCGCTGGGATTAAAGGCATGAGCCACCACATCCCTGCAAATGCTGTCTGGTTTTATGTCAAGTTGACACAAGCTGGATTCACGTGGGAAGAAGGAACATCAGTTGAGAAAATGACCATCCCACCAGATTGGCCTATGGTGTTTTCTTGATTGATGATTGATGTGGGTACTGGTGATTCTGAGTTTTATATGAATGCAAGCTAAGCAAGCCAGAGGGAGCAGACCAGGAAGCAAGACTCTTCCATAGCTTCTGCTTTAGTTCCTGCATCTAAGTTCCTGCCTACTAGCTTTAAGATGAAATAAGCTCTTTCCAAGTTGATTTTGGTTGTGGTGGGTGTTTTATCACAGCAATAGAAACAAAGAACAAAAATTTAAATGGCCATGTATTGACTTTTAGTTTTATACAGAATACTGTTTTAATACCACAGAAGTTGTTTTATATTCTCTTAGGGTTTCTATTGCTATGAAAAACACAATGTCCAAAAACAACTGAGGGAAGCAAGGGTTTATTTAATCTTATAACATTTGGGTCACATTCCATCACTGAAAGAAGTCAGAGCAGGAAGGTAGAGCATGAAATTGAAGCAGAAACAATGGGAGAACCCTGCCTTCTGTAGCTCACTCAACATGCTTCTTTTTTTTTTTTTTTTTTTAATTTTTTTATTTACTTTCTTCTCATTTTACATACCAATCCCTGTTACCACTCTCCCCTCCTACTCCCCCCACCTCCCTCCCAACTCCATCCACTTCTCAGAGAGAGTAAGGCTTACCATGGGGAGTCAACAAAGTCTGGCACATCACTTTGAAGCAGGACTAAGGCCCTCCCTACTACATCTGGGCTGAGCAATATATCCCTTCAAAGAGAATGAGCTCCAAAAAGCCAATTCATGCACCAATGCCAGTGGTCTCCACAGACTGTCCAAGTCACACAACTGTCACCCACATTGAGAGGGCCCACTTCGGTCCCATGTAGGTTCCCCAGCTGTCAGTCCGGAGTCATTAGCTCCCACTAGCTCAGGTTTGCTGTCTCTAATGGGTATCCCCAAAATGGTCTTGACCTCAACTGCACTCTGGGAGCTCAGTCCAGTGCTTAGCTGTAGATCTCTGCATCTGCCTCTGTCAGTTACTGGATGAAGGGTCTGTGATGATAATTGAGGTAGTCATCAATCTGATTATAGGGGAAGGAAGTTCAGTTACTCTGTCCTTAGTTGGGATTATCTTTGTGGATTCCTGAAAATTTCCTTAGAGCCAGGTTTTTTTTACTGGCCCCATAATGATTCCCTCAATCAAGATGTCTCTTTCGTAAAAAAACAATGACATCATGAAATTTGGAGGTTAATGAATGGAACTAGAAAAAACCATCCTGAGTGAGGTAACCCAGGCTCAGAAAGACAAATACAGTATGTACTCATAAGTGAGTTCATCACCCAAGAAAAGCTAGGTAACAAGGAAAACCCTAAGACAGACATGCATGGATCCCCTTGGGAAAGGGAAATAGACAAGATGTCCTGAAAAAGTTGGGAGCCTTGTGGGGAGTGGGGAGAACACGAGGGAACTGGCTGGTGGAGATGGGGAAAGGACAGAGAGGGAGAACAAGGAAAAAGATACATATCAACATACTTTCTTATTCAACCCAGGACTGCCTGCCTATGGGTAGCAATGTTCCCAGTGAGCTTTACCCTCCCCATCAATAAGGAAGCAAGCAATGGCCTCCAGCCTCACCTACAGGCAATCAGACAGAAGTCTTTTCTCCTATAAGGCTCCTCTTCCCAAATAATTATGGCTTATGGCAAGGTGACAGAAACTGGAGAATTTGATTCCTGTTTGACACATTTTAAAATATAGTTAGTAATGTCCCTTTGTTTTGTTCTGTTTTTTAGAGATAAGATTTTTTTGTGTAGTTTTTGCTGTCCTGGAACTCACTCTATAGACCATTCTGGCCTCAAACTCACAGAGATCCATCAGCCTCTGCCTCCCAAGTGCTGGGACTAAAGGCGTGCGCCACCACCACCTGGCAGTAAAGACCCATTTAAAGTGAAATAACTGTATTATTGGTGCTGTAGAATATAGACTTTAAGATTTGGTTAAGAGAGTGTCAAAAAGTAGAACAACCTCTGGAGTAGGCGCTGTTTTATGTATTTTAAGTGTGGGCTTCTATTTTCCCTGACTTTGAATTGTTTAGCCGCTGTGTGTTGATTTGTTATTGTAGTCTGTTTAGAGCAGTCAGTCAGTTTGCTCTCATGTGTTCTGTTTTCAGAGCAGTGGGAAGAGTTCAGTACTGGAAAGCCTTGTGGGGAGGGACCTTCTTCCCAGAGGGACTGGTGTGGTCACCCGAAGACCTCTTATTCTGCAGCTGGTCCACGTTTCTCCAGAAGATAAAAGAAAGACAACTGGAGAGGAAAATGGTAAATTTCAAAACTGGAGTAAGAATTATTTTAAAATGTTATTCCTTTTTCATCTATTCTTAAGATAGAAATTTCAAAGTGAAAAGTTGATTAGTGAATTGGTAAATAGAAGCTATAGCAAAATGAGAAATCCTGTGGAGTGGTATTAATCTTTAATATAAAACAATTTTTATTGATTGGAAATGCTGGATAAAGTTGTTGGGAATTTTGAATAATTCAGTTTAGTAAACTGTCATTAAATAGAAATTACTTACTTAAAGTAAAAAAAAAAAAAATCCTATTTATTTGCCCTTTTCTGGGCTTATCATGTGCTCACTAATTTTGATTCTAAGAGAAGGGCTATTGCTTTTGAAGATTTCTTGGTTTGTGAGACAGGGTAGTCCAAATTGGCTTCAGAATTAACCATATATCTAAGAATGACCTCAGACCTGTGGTCTTCCCGCAGCTCTTCCTGAGTACCTAGATTACAAACATGTGCTGCCATGTCCAGCTATACGAAAAGATTAAACTTTTAAAGTGTTTCTAATTTTTATTCTTATAGCAAGGTTCACCTCTACAACATATAGTTTTTGTACTCTAAAAGGCCCTCCCCTTTGTCATGTTCTGTTTATAGTGCCTAAACTGAGGAGTTTTTTTGGTTGGTTGGTTGGTTGGTTGGTTGGTTGGTTGGTTTTGGAGACAGGGTTTCTCTGTGCAGCCCTGGCTGTCTTGGAACTCACTCTGTAGACCAGGCTGGCCTCAAACTCCCAAGTACTGGCATGAAAGGCATGTGCCGCCACCACCTGATTTTTTTTTTTTTTTTTAAATACAATATATGAATAGTAAGACCAAGCCAGGCAGTGGTGGTACACACCTTTAATGCAGCAGAGTTCCAGGCGAGCTCCAAAGCTACAGAGAAATGCTGTCTTGAAAAACAAAACAAAGCAATAAGACCAGAGTATGAGTATATTCATTATATATATGTGTGTGTATATGCATGTATATATACATATGGATCTTTTAAATTATTTTAAGAATATTCTCTATTAAAAAATTTTAGATTGCTTATCATACGTATATACATCCTATTTATTAGTCATATTAGTGAGATTTGAAATGTCTGAGATCCTGTTCAGTTCAAGCTCTGACTTAAACTTGTTTTCTAGCATTTTGTAGACTTACTCTGCCTTTCAGATACACTGTGTAGAGATTTGTTCTCAGTGTATTTCATTGTTTATCTTCTGCCCTGAGGTGGGGTGGTAGTATTACATCTGCTTTTCTCCCCTTCACTTATCATAGAAGATATTGGTGGTGATGGTGCTAATTTTATTTTAAAGTAGAGGGAGAAACCTGTCATGAGCATCTACTCTGACTTTAAAACAGGCACTTCAAAATAACTGAAGAAAGTTAATGAGCTTGTAGATCTTAGTAAGTATATTTTGTAATTGACTTTCAGCTAAATAGGAAACTTTTAATTGCTAAATATCTTCTTGATATACTAGTAATTATTTTATATTTTAATGTTTATTACTAAAGGTCTTTTTGTTTTATTTATTTTATTTGGAGGCATAGTCTTGCCACATAGCCCTTACTGGCTTATAATTTACTGACTTATCGTTTGTGGTGATTCTTTTATCTCTGCCTCCCAGTTTCTGCATGACAATGCCCATTATTATTTAAAGTTTGAACCTTGAATTTAATCACTCTTGACAAACCTGTGGCTTAGTTTCAATTATCTAGATTAAAATTTTTAGAATTTCATCCTCACTAATTCTATCAAACGCATTACCTAATACCAAGACTTTCAGAAAGTATATAGTTTTAGATCATCTCTCCAACACCCCAGCACTCCCCCCCCCCCCCACCAATCCCCTGCCATTTTGAAAAGGGCAGTTTCTCTATCAGAGACTATTTGCAGGTGTGATCTTTCCTTAAATAAAGTTTTGCTTGTTAAAAAAGGGAGTCAACATGTCAGATCCTTGGTATCACCTTGCTCATATGCCCAGCATGTTTTGTTGATGTGGGGGCTGGCCAGTAAAACTGCACATTTTTATCTGCATATATATTACTCCTGAGCTTAGTCCCTGTTACATATGTGCATTTCCTTACATGTAAAGAAAAATACATACTGCGTTCTAACTTACTTTAAATGATAGATACTTTTGAGTACAAATAAATTCTTTGGCTTCCTTTTTTAAAGTTCTTCTTAACCATTTATTTCTATTTATGTGTCAATATGTGGTGTGCGTGTGCTATTACAAGCGTGCTCCAGTCAAAGGACAACTTGGGGGAGTTGGTTATTTCCTTCTACCATGTGGGTCCTGGGGATTGAACTCAGGAAATTAGGTTTAGCAGAAGGGGCCTTTACCTCTTGAGCCACCTCGTTGGCTATCCTAACCTTCTTATCAAAACCACTTTCTCTTTTTGAATAAGCAGTTTAGGCTTGCCAAATCATTCTGACCTTGTAGAAATTAAGAGCTAACAAAAGCAGATTAACACACAGTTTGGATTTAAAAACATGAACAATGAGAGAAAATAGTTTTGAAGAAAGTATCACACACACACACACACACAAAAAAAAGCCATCAAAAAGTTAAAAACAAACCCAAAACTTTTTGTATGTGGCTCTTTTTATGTTTTTTTTAATCTTCTTTTGTTTATTTGCTTTTTATTAGTTGAAGCCCATGAAGGGTACAGCCTCACAGATTCTATAGGAAGATTGCTTCAGAATTATCAAGATTACTCTTGCTTTGTTCAGGTTGCCTCCAGGAGTCAGTGTTGGGTTTTGCTTTAGACATGTAAACACATCTCTTGCATAAAAAATATAGTTTCATATTGGGCATAAAAGCTCCTTGAGGTCTTATACATAAGAGAGCCCCCATTATGGATAATGTGTTAAGGTGAAGCAAAGAGTAATTTTAACCTGAGGCCTATGAAAGCTGGCTAAAATACTTTGTATTTAATGAATATAATTAACAGGAAGTACAAGAATTGTGACAGTAGATTCCTGTTGGATTGAGTTCATGAATTTAAAGACTTAAATGGTTTGTGGTGTTTTGCTAAATGCAAAGAAAATACTCTTACAAATGGTCCTTTATAGCAAATAGGCTAATTGAATTTACTTACTAATTCTGAGGATTTCAAAGGATATACTTATCATGGGCTCTTTTAAATCATACATTTTATCTTTTCCCACAGTAGGCTTTCAAAAATAGCTTAGGCAAACTGTTGAGAGTAAAATAACTTTAATACAACAGTAGTAACATAACTAATAAGTTTTGAATAATTAGATGCTTATGTGCATTTGAAATGTAATCATGTTGCTACACATGATGTTTTTTTAAGTTTGAAGTTTTAGGGATAAGCACTAAAATTACTTTGTGCTATTTCTCTTTAACTACAGACCCTGCTACATGGAAAAACTCAAGACACCTTTCTAAAGGTTTCCTTTATCCATTTGTTTTTAGCCCTTCTTTTCTAGAATGCCTGCATGTGTGCTTCTGTACCATTACAGGCTGTGCGCCTCAGTTCTTCCGTTTTTATTTGCCTATCCACATTGACTGCAGGTTTTAGAGGTTCTTGTTAGTGTTTTGGCATTGCATTAACATGTAAGCTTTTGGGGGGGTGAATTTACTTTAATATTTACGAAAACATAATTGTGAAGACAGTGAAACTTTTATATGGCCAATTAAGTTAAAGATAGCCTGTGGTATGTGATACTGCCTCTGAGTTCTGTCACCTCCCTTAGTCTGGTCCTTCAGAGATCCACCTTGGAAGAAGGTCCTAAGCTTCAGGTAGGATCTGATTTTATGGACCATTATTTCAACAAAGAACAATAGACCTTTTACTAAATAAATGTTTATGAGAATATCTTATTTTTATTTCAGGTGACTGTTATTCATTAAATACTGTAAATCATTAAGATATCTTAAGGTTCTGAATTTGGTGAAAGCAGAATAGCTGTGCTTGGGTAAGATGTCAAGAGGAGCAGAGCATGACTAGAAACTAGCAAGACATCAGGTCCTTACAGTATATGTGTTTCAATTTTTACTCATTTCATTCATTTCTGTTTTACAATCCCTTGAGAAAACATAGACTTAACCTTGGGAGAAATCACCTTGGCAGTGTGTGCTACAAGCAGCTAGTACCATGACTGAGAGCTTAGTGTGTTGCCAACAGAAAAGCAATTAAAAGTCCTATGATTTTTTAATGAGAAAATTAGCTATTTCATTTGTATATTGCATGCATATTTAAACTTTAATGTATGTACACATTTGTTATATATGATTTCTTTTTGCACTATTAATGGGATTCTAAATTTTTCTTCCTATACTTGAAAATTTTTCATTGGATAAACTGTTTTCATACATAATATGTTTAAAGAAATTATCAGTTATCATAATCACAAACAAATAAGAAATGTACAACTTATGTAAGAACTAGATTTCAAATGCTTGGAGGACTTGCAGGCAACTCAGTCCTGCCAGTGTAGTCTGTCCATGCTTTGAAACATGAATGGTATTTAAGCAGTCTTAAAATTGGGACACTTGTTAATTTGTAGTCAGTAAAAAGCAGTTCACTGTGTTATTTTCTTTTAATTCCTAACTGTAAAACCCAGTTTCCTGTCTCTAAGAAATGAGTTTTTCTTTCTCTAGGAGTTGAAGCAGAAGAATGGGGTAAATTTCTTCACACCAAAAACAAGGTAATCACTCAAGAATATAAAGAAACAACGTAAAAAATAGCATTTTGTAAGTATGGTAGGGAATATGGTTTCTTACAGGCAATGATTTTTTTGTTTCCTATAAAATAAAACTTGTCTTAGTAACATTTCTCGCATCAGTGGTTTAATGTGATTTGATCCATTCTAATTTGAAGATTTTTAAGTGTTTTAAGGTCAGGCAACTTTGAAACAAATCTTAGAAAAATGTATGTATACGTAAGAAATTGTAAACTAGTCGTCTGCATTCTTTAAATGTATCATTTTTTTAAATGTGGCCTCCACCCCTTAAGAACTCTAATCTTATTTAGAATATGGTTCTTTTTGTTTCAACAATTTTTAGCTTTACACAGATTTTGATGAAATTCGGCAAGAAATTGAAAATGAAACTGAAAGAATTTCAGGAAATAATAAGGTAGGTACCGCTTAAAACCTGGAAGACTTAGACCAAAGTAAATATATTGCCGAGCATTTTCTATATATAATATGTAAGCTCATGGCAAAGTCATATTCTCCCCCTTCTCAGTACTGATGGTGTATGTGGGACCTAGCACATGCTAGGTTTTTTGTGTTTTGGTTTGTTTGGTTTTTTTTTTGTTTTTGTTTTTGTTTTTGAAACAGTGTCTCACTAAATTACCCAGGCTAGTCTAGAACTTGGGATCCACCAGTTTTACCTTCCCTAGTAACTGGGAATTATAGTCATGTATGTTGACAGACTTGGTTTATAAATTCATGATCTTAATCCTTTTTTTTTCTTTCTTTTAAACGGAGTACTATACTAAGATAAAAACTTAGATGAATAATTATCTCTTGTATAAGTTGTGGTGATTTTTATCAGAATTCCCAGGATTGGGGAGGTGGAGGCAGAAGGATGTGTTCAAGGCCAGCTGGAGCAAATAGTTTCATAAACACCAAGGGGTAGGGTATGTGGCAGTGATAGACTGTTTGGTGGGGAGTCTTAGGTTAGATCTCCAGCAGCACACACTGTCCTGGGTTTCTTTTCTATTGCTATGATGACTACCCCAACAAAGGCAACTTAAGGGAGATTTATTTAGCTCAGTTCCCAGTTACAGTCCATCATGACACAGAAGTCACAGCAGCAAAAGCTTTAGAACCAGCTGGTCACATTATATTCAGAGTCAGAAGAGAACATTGAGTGCATGAATACATACTAATTTTTAATTATCTTTTTCCACTTACATAGCCACCATACCACTCAAAATTCAGATGTGTCTTTTCAATCCAAGAGTGATAAAGACAGTCTCCTTCAGGCATGCCCTTTGCCCAGGTGACTCTAGTTTCTCCAGGTTGACAGTTAACACAGCTACCAGACACAAACCTACATTTGCATATTCATGCATACACATACACACCTTAAAACTTTTAGACATACAAAATATTTATATTTTGTGATCTTAACTGCATAGTACTTGATTATAATAAAATATTTACTTTCTAAGAATGAAAGAATTTAAATCAGGTAGTCTAAGATACTTTTAATGTTGAAATATTCTCATTTAAATCCTTTTGTGACCTTTATTGTAGTTGCTTTTGTTTATATTGCTATTCTGTGTTATCTGAGAGAACTTTAAATCTCACAAGTGATCCTGAGCAGTGGTAATATTCAGTATATATTTGTTGCCAGGTCCTCTGATGCAGAAGTTATTTCCTGACAGGAAGATGTTTTTGCAGCTGTTTGTTTGTTTTTGTGCCTGTTGAAAAGTATTTGCCTCTTTTCAGTAACTGTTTTGCTCACTTTCAAACTTTGATCCGGTACTTTGGAGGTACTACTCTTGCCACCACACTTCCTAAATTCCCCATACCAGGGTGAACCTGTATTATGACAGGAATATAAGTAGATGGGACTGGATTATGTCAAGGATAGCTTTTTGTCTCAGAGGTCTGAAAATGAAGTACATTGCCTGAGCAAACTCATTCCATGTGTACACTTTTGCCACTTGATGCTCAAATACCTAAGACCAAATTCACGGGCATAGTTTCTTATCTATTAGTCACTCAGCTCAGCAACATCATTTTGGGTAAATGAAAATACATTGTTCTTTTGTTAAGTATGTAATCTGCTAAGCTCTTTTTAAAAAATGGCATATGCAAATAGAAAAGAAAGTGAAATCATACAGGGAGAAGAAATTTTATATAATATAGTAAAGGGTTGGGTAGGATTATAATCCGTATTTACATGATTGGCTGCCTTCTCATTCATGCTTCATTAAGCTTCCATTACGGAACATTGTCAGGAACCATAGTTTAATACGTATTTTAAGGCATCTAAAGTCTGTGTACTTGAGTGTAGTTTACTCTAGCATTCCATTCATTGAAATTCAATATTGATTGTAATATATTTGAAACCTGTTTTTAGGGAGTAAGCCCTGAGCCAATCCATCTTAAGGTTTTCTCACCCAACGTTGTCAATCTGACACTTGTGGATTTACCAGGAATGACCAAGGTAAGGAGTATCTAGTGCTCGTGTTTTTATTTAAAGAAGTGTGTTTTGTTTTCTTTTTAACATTAACCTAATATGAGAATAATGATTTGATTTTGCAGTTACTGTTATTATCAGAACATTAGAGTTTAGCCCTCCTTTCTTCTTAAAATGCCTTCTTTACTTTGGCTCCCACATTATCATAGTCTAGAATTTTATCAATAATCTCACTGGCCACTCCTTTTCATTGTCTTCTGATGGTCTCTTCTTATCTCACCAAAGTCTATAAATACCCCCCCTTGTTTTTTGTTTTTTTTGTTTTGACCTCTTGTCCTCTTTAGGTACACAAAACACAACTAATTAGATTTATAGTATTATCAGATCTTATAGCTCTAAGTGCATAAGTTTGAATATGCTGACATTCAAATTATTTCCAGATACATGTCCAGCTACCCACTTGGCATCCACATTAAAGCATTACAGCTTTGCTGTGTATCTTCTGTACTTAATAATTGGTGATTCCACTGTACCTATTGATCAGCCAAAACCTTACAGACATCTTTGATATTTCTTTACCTTTTCTTATTTCCCTTTCAACAAATCTCTGGGCTGTCCTTATTTTATAATACATTCAGAATTCTATCCCCTCTACGCATATCCATGGTAGAGGTAGCCATTGTTATTTCTCTTGGATTAGTATAAATTACAGGATATATGATAGGTCTCACCAGTTTACTTTTATGTACATTGGTGTTTTGCCTGTATGTATATCTGTATGAGGGTGTTAGAGACCCTGGAGACAGATGCGAACTGCCATGTAGATGCTGGGAATTGAACTTGGGTCCTCTGGAAGAGCACTGAACCATCTGTCCAGCCCCATTTTTTTACTTTTAAGTAACCACGGTATTCTATTAAAGTAAAAATTAGATTGTGTCATTTCTTTGCTTAAAATCTCTTCAGTGACTTCCTAGTTCTTTCTACTAAGAATACAAGCTTAAATTCTTAGAAATATCTACTCCTGTATTATTCTCTCACTTTGTTAGTTTGTTTCTTTATTTGTCCATCTCAGGGTGGCCTTTAACTGCCTATGTAACTAAGGATGATCTTGAACTCCTTATCCTCCTGTTTTCCCAGATCCTGGGGTTACAGGCCACCACACTCGGTTTGTGTATTATTCTTCTCTAGTTTTTTGTTTGTTTGTTGTTTTGTTTTGTTTTGTTTTCTAGGCTCCTGCCTTTATTATTCACTCAGTATGGAATGTTCTTTCCCCTGATAGCTAATTCTGCTACTTTTTGCTTTTAATTTCTGCTTAGTCACCTAAACTTCATTATCTAATTCAGGTAGACCCTAGTGATACTGTTTTAAAATATCATTTAAAGCAAGAATTTAAAAGCATCATCCCCCAGCCTCTGTTCTGCTCTCTGTGTTCTTGATTGCCCTGTCTGCCATGTGCAGTTATGTCTGTTTATTTGCCTCTTATTACTAAGACAGACGCTCTAAGAAGACAGGAACTTGAGTCTCCTAATTTTGTTGCTGTGTGTGCACAGCAATAGTGAAGTTTTGATATTTGGCAGAGTTACATTTTGGGGCTTTGCAGATTACCAGATTTATAAATACCTCTATAGCACATTGTTAATTTATCTTAGCTGTTTAAGTACAGAAACACTTGTGTTCTGTTAATTAAATTTGTGAAGAAAGCTGAGTTGATTTTGATTATTGCTCACCTTGTTTGAGTTAGGTACCTGTAGGTGATCAGCCAAAGGATATTGAGCTTCAAATCAGAGAGCTTATTCTTCGGTTCATCAGTAATCCCAATTCCATTATCCTCGCTGTCACTGCTGCAAATACAGATATGGCAACATCAGAGGCACTCAAGATTTCCAGGGAGGTAGATCCAGATGGTAAGTTCAGATGTTTTATTTGATGAATGTTTGACTTGCCATGGTAAATCTTTCCTCAAGAAAGGAATATTATTGCAAGGAATATCTCCAGTTGTAAAGATCTTAAAATGCTTTCCTCATAATTTTAAGCAGCAATTAGGATGGAAAACAGTTATTTGATTGCTGTAAAGAGAGGCAGAAATACTTCCCATAAGGTCTATGTTTGCGGTAGCTACATCAACTTACTTTGTAAAATGTATCTTTATTTGTGTAAATGAAATTTTGGTTTTTGAATAAACAACATTTAAGAATAAATAACTCGGGGCTAGGGAGATGGCTCAGTGGTTAAGAGCACGGGCTGCTCTTCCAGAGGTCCTGAGTTCAATTCCCAGCAATCACATGGTGGCTCACACCCATCTGCAATGAGATCTGGCGCCCTCTTCTGGCTTGCAGGCATACATGCAGGCAGAACACTGTACATAATAAATCTTTTTAAGAAAAAGAATAAATAACTCATAATTGTATAAACTGTTATGATACTTTCTACAGGTTAAAAAGCACTCTCAGTCTAGAGGGGAATCTTTGAAGGTGTCTCCTTTTTAAGGCACCTTTACCCAGATTGTGACTTGGTGAAACTTAGGATATCAGGGACTTCTCTCAGTGTGTAAATTACTAGCTTGTTAATGAGTGCATAATCGACCCATAAGGAAACTAGTTTTACACCTACATACTTGAAGACTTACATCTGTGTTACAGCTTTTTTTCCTGCTTTGATAAATAATGTCAAATAAAAATTTAACAAGCATTAATTAAAATTTCCATAATTAGTCAGGTATGGTGGTACACACCTGTAATCCTAGTACTTGGGAGGTAAGAGTAGGAAAGGGTCATTTTCAGCTATAGTTTGGGGCTGGCCTGATCTACATGAGAACCTGTCCCTAAATAAATGAATAAATACATAAATAAAATAATCAAGTAATAAGGTAGACATAAATTTGATCTAGTGATTTTTTTTTTTTTTTTGAAAGAATGTCTCACTATGTAGCCCTGGCAGACCTAGAGCTTGTTATGTTGATGATCTAAATTGACAATACACTAATTACAAGGTAATAATTTTATCCAATATTAATATCTATTATCAAAATTAGCATATATTACTATCAGATATATTTATAGTATCAAAATTTAGAATTGGGGCTGGAGAGATGGCTCAGTTGGAAAAGCGTTTGCAGTAGAGGAATGAAGACCCAAGTTTCAATCCCTAGAAGCCTGGCACAGTGGAACAGCGTAGTAACCCAGTACTGGGGCAAAGGGAGGAGGGCAGAGCCCTGAAGCTTACTGTTTAGCCAGTTTAGCCAGTCATCGAGTCCCAACTTCAGCGAGAGACCCTGTGTCCAAAAATAGGATAGAAAGCAATTGAGGAAGACATCCCATATATGGACTCCACATAAATACGCACATGCATATGTGCACACATAAAAGCAAGTAGGTGCAATTTAGAAGCGACTTAATAGGGATAACACAATTTGAGAAGACTATAAGTGGGGATCTTGTAGGTTTGGAACAAAAGAAAAAATGGGTTTGTTTGGTTTTTGGTTTTCAAGATTTATTTATGCACACCAGAAGAAGGCACCAGATCTCATTATAGATGGTTGTGAGCCACCATGTGATTGCTGGGAATTGAACTCAGGACCCCTGGAAGAGCAGCTGGTGCTCTTTACATCTGAGCTATCTCTCCAGCCCCAAGAAAAAAATGTTTATAACTGAAAAATACCTATTTAAAGTTGTATCTGCAGAGCAGCTGGAAGTGTTACATATATTGATGTAGAATGCTCCATTTACTTAGGAAAAGGAGAACAGCTTGCTTTTTTTTTTTTTTTTTTTTTTTTTTTTTTTGGTAGTTTGGCTCTCCTGGAACCTAGTGCTAGGATTAAAGCCACTGCCCTGCTATGGAGAACAACTTTGAGTTAGTAATCCCATGTAAAGTATTCACATGAAAATCTCTGAAGCCTGGCATGCTAGCTCATTGTAGCACCAGCATCCAGGAGGCTAGGGTTAACCTGGACCGGTGTCCATTTAGACCCTATTTCAGAAATCTGGGGCTTAGCAGGTGATGGTTAGCAGGCGTCGGCTATCAGGCAGTGGTTAGCAGGTAATGGTTTAGTAAGTGATGGTTTAGCCTGTGAAGGCTCTTGCTGCCAGATCTAATGATCTGAGTTGGAGGCCTCAGCTCCCATGTGGTGAAAGGAGAAACAAACTCCTGAAAGTTGTCCCTCACCTCTGTACTTGTGATTGTATTTACATGCCCCTTCCATTCCTCCCAACCCCAATGAATAGATGATTTAAAAAACCCCTTTATATACAAACATCTATGTTGAGTTTATTTATACTTCCTCAAGCTAGGAAAAAATTTCTCAAGTCAGAAATAAATAGCCAGATTAGTACACCCATGTGATAAGCAGCACGTTGCACAGTAAGGTGCTAATGTCTGCTCCAGTGTGGACAGTACTTGCACGCATCATGGTGAGGGAAGGCATACAGAAGAGGACTGAAAGGCAGAGTTGCTGTTTAGAAAAGTGCATTGTGGGTAGTGGAACTGTTATTACTGAGGTGACATGTACTTGTCAAAAACAATATAATCAGAGTGGGATGTGCTTCACTAATACCGTGATTGCTGACACATCCAAGGCCCTAGGTGTCTTCCCCAGCACTGCAAAAAATAGTGAATACTCAGAGAAATTAAAAATGCTTCAAGGTGTCAACCTAAGAACTAATAAGAAATTACTTATGGAGGGATTGGATAGAGGTCAGTGGGAGGATGGAAGGGAGAGAGAATTGGGATTGATATATAAAATAAGATTATTTCTAATTTAATTTTTTTTTTTCAAAAAGGGGGGGAAAAGAAATTATTTACAGAGTTGGAGAGTTGACTCAGTGGAGAGCACTTGCTAACCTTTTAGAGGACCAGAGTTTGGTTCCTAGCACCCACATCAGTCAGTTCACCACTGCTTATTACTCTCTAGCTCCAGAGGATCCAACACCCTCGATGGCCTCCATTGCATGCACATGCATAGACACCCACATACACATAATTGTAAAAAGTTTTTTTGTATAATTTTTTTAATTTAAATTTGAAACAAGCTTGTTTTACATGTCAATGCCAGTTCCTACACCCTCCCATCCTCCCCTGTTCCCCCACCAACTGCCATCTTCTCCTTTCTGGTCCCCAGGGAGGATGAGGCCTTCCATGGAAAATCTTCAAAGTATGTCATATCATTTGGAGCAGGGCCTAGGCCCTCTCTCATGTATCTAGGCTGAGGGAGTATTCCTCTGTGTGGAATGGGCTCCTAAAGTCCATTCATATACTAGAGATAAATATTGATCCACTCTGCTCTAAGCACACTAGACCCGCCTATCCATGCTGGACCACCCTGACTCCCCGCCTGTCTGATCTTTGACACCCATGGCCAGGACCCTGCCTGAGGAGACACCTAGAGAGTTTGGACCACCCAGAGCTACAGACATTGAAATCCTGACCCACCTAAGCCCACCGAGGGAGTATCGGAGAGGGAGAGAGAGAGAGAGACCCCACCTGTACCCACTTTAAGAAGTGATGGAAAGACAGCAATACAAGAAAACACCTAACAATAGAAAGACAAGCATGACACCAACAGAATCTAGGGATTCTATACCAACTAGATTTGACCACACCAAAGCAGATGACACAGAAGAGAAGGACTTAAAAAATATCATAATAAAAATGAGGCCCTCAAAGACGATATGAGAAAATCCCTTAAAGAAATGAAAGAAACACATCCCCCATGGAGGGATACTCCCTTAACCTAGAGACAGGAGAGAACTCCTAGTCCCTACCTTCAAAAGACTTGACAGATTTAGATGACCCCACTTGGATGGCATCACCCTACATGTGGAGTGGAGGGGGGATCTGGGAGGGTGGTCGGGGTACATGTAACGGGGGAAAAGAGGGAAAGACAAAGGGAGAAGGAACTGGAATCGAAATGTAAAATAAAAATTAACAAAAAAGAAAAAAAGGAAATGGAAGAAAAAACAAAAAAATGGAAGAAATGAACAAATCTCTTAAGTAAGGAAAGCCAAGAAAAAAACAATTAAACAGGTGAAAGAAACAGTTCAGGACTTGAAAACTGAAATAGAGACAATAAAGAAAACACAAACTGAAGGAATGCTGGAAATAGAAAAACTGGGCAAACAATTGGGACCTACAGACGCAAGCATAACCAATAGAGTACAAGAGATGGAAGAGAGACTCTCAGGCACTGAAAATAAACTAGAAGAACTAGATTCATCGACCAAAGAAAATCTTAAATCCAACAAATCCTTAACACAAAACATCCAGGAAATGTGGGACACTGTGAAAAGGCCAAACCTGAGAATAATAGGCATAGAACAAGGCGAAGAAGCCCAGCTCAAAGGTGCAGAAAACATACTAAAAAAAAAATCATTGAGGAAAACTTCTCGTATGAAGAAGGACATGGCCATGAAAATACAAGCATACTGAACATCAAATAGACTGGACCAAAGAAAAAAAGACCCCTCGACACATAGTAATCAAAACACCTAACATACAGAATAGAGAAAGAATATTAAGAGCAGCGGGAAAAAAGGGCCAGGTAATATATAAAGGCAGACCTATCAAAATTAAACCTGACTTCTCCATGGAAACTCTCAAGGCCAGAAGGTCCTGGATAGATGTTCTACAAGTAATAAGAGTCCATGGATGCCAGCCCAAACTAATATACCCAGCAAAACTCTCAATTACTATAGACCGAGAAAACAAGATATTTAATGACAAAGCCAGATTTTCTCAATATGTATCTACAAATCCAGCCCTACAGAAAGTTCTGGAAGGAAAACTCTAACCCAAGGAAGTTAACTACACTCACAAAGATGTAGGCAACAGATAATCCCACTACACCAGAATCCAAGGGTAAAGCAGGGCAAATATATTCACAATACCAATGCCAACAACAAATCTAAAACAA